TAACGGCATCCTTTTCCAAATATGACATCGACTGAGGCTGTCAGTCCCGAACTTCTCCTGTATGTATAAATAAGTGAACTGACAGCTTGTGTTGCAGTCGGTAGAGTTACACCTGTTGATTTCAGTTTGCGTGAGACATCAGCTCGAGGTGAATAGCTCACCCTATGGCGTTTAAATATTTTTAGATGTTATTTTTAAGGCTTTTAAACGGATGTTATTAGATGTCGACAGACGTAATGACCCAACTCTACATCGGTGTTGCTCGTTGATCGTAAAACTAGCGTCTTAATTTTTTGCAAGTGTACTCAGGGTTTTTTTTTTCCAGATCTCTCATCAAAACAAGCTCAATTAAGCGACTTTCCGCACCAAAGTAGCGTAGTCTCTTCAGTTATTATATAGTCATAAAAATAAACTAGCATCGAAATCACTTAATAAATATATTTCGTGTACATTGATGCATCACTAAGATGGTGAAAGATGAATAATGACATTATGTAAAGTGCAAGGTTTTAGTTATATTTTCGTACATAGTTCGAAAAAATCCACCCAAAAGCGCAACAAACGAATTTCCACATTTCCACAAGAGACTGACAAAATAAACAAGCCCAGAGTTGCTTATATCGGCCAAGGCCGCACAGTACTGCACTCATACCGCCCTCTGGTGTTCAGTTCTCGACTAATTATGTTTGACGTATGCATTGATTTCTTTCTTTATTAAAACTCAGTGGTCATGTCAACGAGAAACCCACAGACAAAGTTTGTCTTTTGAAATATGTGTTTCAGCTGAAGAGCGATAATAATGCAATGCTTTTCTGAATTTGTGTTTTTTTTTTTCCTGTTAGGCACCATCAACGATAAGCAGTTACAGATCTTCAACCTCACTTCCCTCTCTAAGTCTGAGGACGTTCTCTCAGCAACGCTGCACTACTACATTGGTGACCTGCAGAACAGCAGCCACAGATGCACAAGGCACAAGAGTTGTGCTCACCATAACCTCAGAAGACAAGGTCATATTCACCTTAATATCTGGAGCTTCAGCTTTGTGGATAACACCACCAGAACAGTCGGCCATTTCTTCATTAACATCTCCACAATGTACCAGGACTTCATATCATGGCAGTGGAAAGACATTACTCGTGTAGTCAACCAAGCCAAGCGACATGACCAGCTTCTCATAGGCATTGGCATTGACTCAAAAGGAAGTCAACCTTGGAAGAAACTCTTGTCTGATAGGTCTCCTTACATTCTGGTCTATGCAAATGACTCGGCTATCTCAGAGCCCGAGAGTGTCGTGTCCACCCTGCAGAGACACAAAAGCAGACTGGTGCCAAATCTTCATATGCTCGAAATACATAATGGCAGTGCCTCCTCACAACATCGGACCAGGCGGTCCGCCAACATCCTGCTACCGCTACAGAACAATGAGCTTCCAGGCCCAGAGTACCCTTATGAGATACCTACATGGGACGAGAGCAGCCCTTATGATCCAGTGGAGAGTAAACCAGTCAAGCGCCCTCGCAAGAATCCACGGCACAAGAACCCTCTCCTGCAGTTCGATGAGCAGACCATTAAGAAAGAACGTAAAAAGCAGTGGAACGAGCCAAAGAACTGTGCTCGCAGATATTTAAAGGTTGATTTTGCAGATATCGGCTGGAGCGAGTGGATTATCTCCCCCAAGTCTTTTGATGCGTACTACTGCTCGGGGTCATGTCAGTTCCCCATGCCAAAGGTACGTTACTTATTGATGGCTACTAAAATCTTACATTCCATTCGTTTTTGTAGAAATCAGTTGGCTGGACTGTTTTGTTTTTATTTAGCAAGAAGTCAAGCTGTTTTGTTAAATGAAGCACCCATTTTGTTGACATGTACAACTTTTATTTGTTGTAATTCAACTAATTTAAGTATCTAGAGCAGAGGGGAAAAGGACGGATACAGGCATAAAAAGAAGTGATTTATAAGCACCACCTAGTGGCAGTCAGGAGAAAAGATGTAAATCATTCAGCTCGACACTGTGGGCAGCACAGCAGTTCATTACGCTTCCATTAGTACACCATTTATGTCATCCTCGTTGTAAAACCTGCCCATTGCCACTTTGAGATGTTGCTAATGGTTTTTCCTCTTAAGTTAAAGAAACAAGAAGTCTTCAGTAATGTGGCAGTTTTACTAGTTTTTTACTACAGTTTTATGTTTCTGTAGTAAAGCTGATTATAGAAAACCAAGATCCAGTTGTTTCATATTCTAAAATGTGTGTGGCTGAACCCCTTACCATCCCTCCAGATAATTTACATTTTGATCTTGTTTTAGCAAATTAGGGATGCAGAGTGTATCAGTACCATATGAGATAAATGAGATATTAGAGATTTAAATGATCAGTGTCAGTGGTTCTTTAATAGCACATGCCCATTTCCTCTTTTTTTCAGATGACCATTGTCTTAACAGTCACTTAAAGTTAATCTTTAAAAACCATAATAATGTAATAAGACACACTTGATCAATCTCAAAATGAATATCCGTTTATCATAATGTACGTTATAATTGTGAAATTCACTTTTAGCTTTAAAAAAAGGTTTATTTTAGTTTTTAGTGTTTTATAACTAATTTATTTAGATCAAATATTATAGCATTTTAATTTCTGAAATTTATCAGTTATTGGACAAACTTGTAACATTGGTGCATTACCAATGTTATTTTTTACATACTATGTATGTACTATTATGATATTTATTTTCATATTTTACATTTTCAGTTTAGTTTTAGTATTTATATGTGTTTTGTCATTTTTATTCGTTTTTGTTTTATTAAAAAGCACCAACGTTTCTAATTTTCATTGCGTTTTTTTTCTACTGTTTTTTATTTTATTTTATTTCACCTTTATTGTATTTAGCAATTTCTTAAGTAGTTTGTTTCAGTTTACAACACCTTGCATCACTACGGCAGACAGCCATCCCATGTCAGGCTTGCTTTGCTCTTCGAATGATTGTATTGTGTATTGATTGGAACATGGCTGGAATAGCCTGAAACCATACACAATGTTTTACTTCTTTTTACACCCCTTGGTGCTTTTAACTGGTTTATCCAAAAACGAACTGTACTGTCCTAAAGCCAATAATAGCTTCTGAACTTTTTACCTCCACCAGTCTTTGAAACCTTCAAACCACGCCACCATTCAGAGCATCGTGCGGGCAGTGGGGGTGGTCCCGGGCATCCCAGAGCCCTGCTGTGTACCGGAGAAGATGTCTTCCCTCAGCATCCTCTTCTTTGATGAAGACAAGAACGTGGTCCTCAAGGTCTACCCAAATATGACAGTGGACTCCTGTGCCTGTCGGTAAACGCTTTGGTCTTTTCCACCAGCCTCGCTCCCTTAAACTGATTCCAAATGTTTGCACTGGAAGAAAGACTGAAGATGTTCATTTCATAACCCTTGAAGAACTATCTCCAGCTTTAAGGATTGTGAAGAGCAAAGTGCTTTTCCAGAAGGAATTCATTACTGTTAGCAGGAGGCGTCAAGCATCAGTAGAGATATGAGCATATGAAGAGACTGTCTGTCTGCGTTTGACCAGGATGTTCTCATGTTTCTATAACCTCAGCAGTTAAGCATACAGGGGACAAACATTTGCTGTCATCCATCATGTTTCTGTACAGTTTGTATAATCTGTCATTATTATAGCTATATTTTTGCTACAGAGGCATTGATTGACTCTTATTGTTCATATTCTATGGCTGCTATACTGAGGTAGATTTTACTCCAGAGCCCAAATATGCTGAAAACTGGACTTTTGAAAAAAAAAAAGGAATCTCTTTTTGTTATGTTTGTCAAAAAAAATCGATTTATATTAAAATGACTGCCTATATAAGTTACATATTCAGTTTTCCACATTAAGCTTAAAACAGTGTTTGATTTCTGGGTGATTCTGTATTGAATGTCTTTAATCGTCAGAAAAAAAAATATATATATTTATTTTCTCCAAAAATGTGTATTGTTAGAAGCTTACCTGTAATAGTGTTACATCACATTTTGTAAACGTAATTGTTTAGTCAGGCTTTTATGCAATTGTAAATATGTTCAATCATGTTTCTGTCTGACCTACTAATACAAGTTTGCATCCTCACGTTCACCTGAATTCATAATGCATATGCACGCATTCAGAAAAAAAAAAATTCTGTCATTCCTCTGAAAACTGCAAATAGATCTCAAAAGACCAGACGCTATATTACGAGCAGTGTTTCAAATGATATGTTCAGGAAGATGATTATGAAAATTGTATGTAGATTATATTAAGCCTTTGTCTCTTTAACACAACTGCCTATATAAAGTGCCTTACCACATTAAAAAGATTCATTAAGATACATTAAAATGAATATTCTACTAGAATATTTATATTTCACAAAGATGAGTGTAACTTATGTAATGTTTTATTTTTGCAGAATATTTTTAGTCTATCACTTTATTTAGATCAAATCTGATATTTTGTTCCAATAATGATTTCTGTATACATTTTGTACTGTTTTTACTTTTAAATTAGCATAAAACTAAAGCAAATACATATCATAAGCTGCATGTTCATAAACGGGGTGCGTTCAAGTTGGAGTTTTTTCTTGCTGTAAATTCAGCCTATGGACAACAGAAATGTACACATATATGTAAAAGTGGGCTATTATCTTAATATATAATACATACGTCAAGAAACTTGTGCTTTGTATTATAAGTCTCATAAGGAAATATATTTGTATATGGAAATGACCTTTAAAAGCATTTATTTATTTTCTGTACGGTGCCTTCTGTATCTTATTTTTGTGAAGCACAGAGGGGCTTCATTAAATATTCATTGAGCTTTGCTGCACAAAGGTCAGACGGGTGCAAAAGGAAGCAATCACACGACTCATGTCAAATGAGTGAGAATGCTTATATTTGTAGCACATCTCCCTAGTTGAAAGAATCCCTTTTGGCAGAGCATTCAAAGAAAAAAAGTCAATAAAGTTTTAAGAATTATGTAGCCACGTGTTTATTTGTCATGTGTTAAAGAACTCAGAACTTTAGTGAATATCGATTGCATTGTTATGCAATCAAAAATTATGTTGAGACTGTTGCATCATGGAACATGATGTAATTTGCTTAATGGGTCAATAAGGCCTCTAAAGTTACCACACAAGTCCATTATTTAATAGATATTCTCATTTACAAATCGATACTGTGCAATGACTGCTGGACTTGAAATGTACATTTTCGCTGACATTTTTATATGCAGTTACTGTAAAACATCTTGTAGAATGACTTAAAAAACTCTAAATTCTCACGCTAAAAATGAAACATTTTCCTCCTATTCACAAGGATAAAATAAGCAAGCTTCAAACATTACATCAATACAAACATATTTGGCTCAGGTGCAGAGGTTAGAGTCACCTGAAGTTCTTGAACTCTAGGAAAAGTCACTAAAAGACTACTTTTCACATAACTGCTTGAAATGTACAAACTGCAGTGCCAGTCACCCGCTGAGGTTAACCTTTGAAACCTCATCAGTGGCATTCACAGTCACAGGTGGTTATTACCCTACCTTCAGGAGCTCAAATACGTGACATCACCAACGCTTCTAAAACAAGGAACATCTCACCTTCCTGCCAAACCACAAACCCTTCTGCACTTCTAAAGGTAAATATTACCAATAGCTTCACACCATCCTCTATGATGCCCCGGCTACATCATTCTCACAGACTGATCCTGCTCTGACATCTCAGTGGTACGGTTTCATTCAAATACATTAATCATCACAATGTATGAGTACATCTGAACACTGTGAAACAATTCCCTTCTTATGTCTGTGCCTCCCACAGCACTAACAGCAGCCTCTGTTGCGGGGGGGGAGGTCAGTTAGAAGTCTGTGTCCCAACCCGACATTTCATCTGGAGGGATTTCTTCTTCAGGAGGATAACTGTCAAAGTAACTGTGGTCAGTGGGTCCCTTCACCTGGAGAAAAAGAGAAAACAAGATAATATTCAGATACACTACTAGGGATGTAAAGATTCACTCAACTCACGATGCGATTCACGATTTTGATTTCACGATTCGATTCGATTCACGATTTTGATTTCACGATTCAATTCACGTTTTTTTTTTGTTTTTACAAAATGAGATTTAAGACAAATTATAAATTAAATG